GCGCGGCGAGGACCCGAGCCGCGTTAGCGCCCCGCGGCCGCGCCGGCCTTTGATGGTTCGCTGCGGCCGGACGCGGGGCCTCGGCCTGCCCGGTCCGCTGTGATCAAAAGTTCATGTTTGGGAAGCGATGACTAATTCTGGGAGCTGCATTGCTTTTTCATTGCTGGAGAGGGCAGGAGCGCGGCTGCTTCTCACGCAGAACGCGCGATTACTTCTGCCAGTTTGACTCAACCTTGCAGTGAGGCTTGGTGGAAGTCTGAACATTCCGATGGGTCCTCGTAGAGGTCGGCAGCGGGGCCCCCTCCCCCTTTCTGTTAGAACTCGCTTCGGGCTAAACCGGCAGGGGAACTTTGCCCGAAAGTTAATTGGTTTTCCAAATACCGCTCTGCAGTTAGCCCACTCGGGCTGTAACCTGAGTGGAAGGAAGAGCTGCCGCCCCCACTCGCATTCGCCCTCCAGTGGGAAGGCCTGTTGTGTTTTCTCCTGTTTCAGGCGGAGGGTTTGGAACTCAGAAAAGCTCACTCAACCTGATGACAAAAACCGGGCTAAGGGGGAGGAAGGAAAAACTACTTAGCTGCCTGCTCAACCACTTCAGTTCGTTAGACTTGCATGTGCTTTTTCTCTTCCCCCTGGAAGTGCGTTTCCGAGCTCCTTACGGGTAAATGCGTATTGGCGTGCATCGCACATAGTGACGCTCCTCGCAACTTAGTGTGCTTTGAAAGTATACGCGGAGGAGACTGAACTCCACATCCTGTTCCCTCTAAGCCAAAAGAAGGAAAGACGCGTTGCAGCTGAAAATTGTACTAATCGTTGTAGTGTATGGATGCATGAGAATTTATATCCAGAAGTTTGAAAATGTATATGGTTTTGTTTATGTTTGACCAAGTTTTGTGCTTCTGGAAAAAAAAAAATTATTTTGTCTTTTTGTCACTGTGTAGTTCAGGCTGGCCTTGAACTCAGTGGAGATCCTTCTGCTTCAGCCTCCCAAGTGCTAGGATTACGGGCGTGCACTGTCACACTTGGCACTGCACATCTGAAAACTTAGCTTTTGTTTCTACTGATGTTTTTCCAAATTCAAATTTAATCCCGGTAGAAACTCAAAAATGTACATGAATTTGCTGTAAGGCATAAATGACAGCTGATCCCTTTCAGTCTCCTTTTCTGTGTGACTCAAGGAAGTTCTGTTTTTGATAACCAAACCCTAATTCTAATAAAGGAATTTTTAAAAGGTATCATGAACGGCATAAATCTGGATTGTAAGGAGTACTGTCCACAGACTGTCGCCTGTTAATTCTTTTGTGTATCTCCTTTTTCCATCATGACAAATCTATCTTAAAAGAGAAAACGGGTTCACAGAGGTTATGGTAAAAGTGTCACACTTAGCCCCCTTTTATGGGAAGTTTCTGATACAGATATTTTTTTCCTGTTACATAGTTGACATAGTTGTATGTCAGTTCTTAAAGTTATATTGTAATTGAACTACATCTTTCGATTTTTCAGTCCATTCTTTAAGTGGCTTTTAAAAATGTTCCAACAGTTCTAAATCTTTTGAATTCATTGAAAGTTTATAGTTTGCAATGACTGACTTATTGATGATATTTGTTCATGGAAAAATGAGGGCTTGGTATAAAAAAAAAACACTGTTTAAAGCCTCGTGAAAAAATGCATAGTGATTCTGTTTATACCTGAAACATTTTTTGAGCTTGGGGAAGCATCCATACTACATTGACCTGTGTTTTACTTTCGTGGTGTGCGTTGAACCCATGGCCTCTTGTGTTTAAGCAGGTGCTCTACTCCTGAGCTATACCTGCACCATCTGTCTTGATGTTTTAAAACTTAGGTGTTTTTGTTTTTTGTTATTTTGAGACAGGAGTTGGCTATGTATTTCTGGCTGGTCTTGAACTCACTATGTAGCCCAGCCTTGATCCTTCTGCCTCAACCTCGTAAGTGCTGGCATTATAGGTGTGCATCACCATGTCCAGCTGCTAGTTTATTTTTTTATGTTTTATTCCTTTTTTTTTTTTTTTTTTTTGGAGACAGCGTTTCACTATATAGTTCAGATAGGCCTTAAACTCACTGTGTAGCATAGGCTGGCCTTCTGGTGCGGTCCCCGAGTGCTGGGATTACAGACAAGTGCCATTATACCCACGTTTAGAAACTAGGTTTTAAAATCATCTGTTTACTATTGGGAACCTTTGTTTCCTTTTATACTATTTGTCTCAAAAAGTGTGGAAGACATGTCTAGTTTGCAGTAGGTAGAAATTCATTTAGATAGACTATCAGTAAAATTGTTAATACTTACAGTACATCTTAAAATTAAAAACCTTCGTTTAAGGTTTTCAATACATAGGGTCTCTGTTGCTCATGGCCTCGAACTCCTGAGCTCAGGTGATCATCTCACTGCAGCCATCGCAGGAACTGGACCCGTATAAGCCTTGTGCTGTCCCCGCCCCGCCCCACTATTTCCTGCTTTTAACTCTCCTTAAAATTATATAATTTAAAAGTACCTCTCCAGCCAGGTGCAGTAGTACATGTGTATAGTCCCAGCACCCTTGGATCCTTCGACTGGAGAATCAAAAGTTGGAGCCCAGTCTAGATAATGTAGCAGGATCCTGTCTTAAAATAAGAAAACCAAAATAAAAAGGTCTGGGGATGTTGCTCATTGGAAGGCTTTGGATTTAATGTCCAGTACCCGGGAAGGAGGGAGTGTCCCTTTGAAAACTTGGTGTGCCTTGGTGTCTAATATTAAATGTTGAGATTTGCCAGTAGTACTTAGATACTTGGTTGCAATGAAGTTCTGTGTAGGAAGTTTGAAGGTACCCTCTCCAGAATGGCTTTTTGTTTTGTTTTATAAATTTCCGCTTTAATCCCACTAGGCCAGTACCGATGCAGGCACTGCAGGAGCCCTGACTCCACAGCACGTGCGCGCGCACTCCTCTCCAGCGTCCCTGCAGCTGGGAGCTGTCTCTCCTGGGACGCTAACCCCCACTGGCGTCGTCTCTGGCCCAGCAGCTACGCCTGCCGCTCAGCACCTTCGCCAGTCTTCTTTCGAGATACCGGACGACGTGCCTCTGCCCGCAGGCTGGGAGATGGCCAAGACGTCCTCTGGCCAGAGGTACTTCTTAAAGTAAGTGACGGTTATGGGAGGCGGTTACCGAGAACGTGTGCTGAACACACTGAGGGGGCAACGTAGAGTACTGTTCGTTTCTGTGTTGCACTGAATATTTTCCTCACACTCAAACATCTTCTGGAAGTTTTGTTTGCTGTCAGTCCCAAATACCTAAAGACCTTTGTTAGGGTTACAACTTAGTTCAGAACCTTTTCCCTATGTTATGTGGTAGTTTGTCTCATTTGGAGTTTATTCCAAATCTGTTCATTAGCATAGCACAATGCAGAAAGAGTAAAATGAAAAGTTTTCAGATTCTAAGAAGTGTACTGCAGGCATAGTCATATATAATATGTATGGTACTACTTAGGTCTTTTTCTTTTTTTGGAGCTGGTTATTGAACCCAGGGCCTCATGCATACTAACCACACACTATATGTAGACTGAGCTGAATCTCCAGCCCCCATACATCTTCTTTGTTTGGTTTGGTTTTGCTTGTTCTTTTGTTTTGTTTTGTTTTGTTTTGTTTTTTGTCTTTTTGAGACAAGGTCTCGCTGTGCAGTTCAGGCTGGCCTTGAGCTCACTTTGTAGCGCAGGCTGGTCTCGAACTCACAAGGATCCTCCGGCCTCAGCCTCCCGAATGCTGGGATTATAGGCGTTGGCCACCACACCCAGCTGGTTTTGTTTTTTTTCAGACGGAGCCTCACTATGTAGTTCACGCTTGCCTTGAACTCACCATGTAGTCCAGGCTGGCCTTGAACTCATGGCATTCCTGAGTGCTGGGATTATGGGCATGCACCACTATACCCACTTCTCCCCATGTATCTTTTGAAATAAATGTTTTATTGGTAGAGAAGAATTAGAAAATAAGTAGGATTTCTGGTGAAACCTAATGTTACAATATTTTAAATTGTGAGATCATAAGCACATTAGATGCAGTTTGATGTGATTTATCAGTTTTTCCCCCAAACATAAAGAAGAATATAAATTTTTAGGTTGGAAATATGATCACTCAGTGGTGAGTATCTTTCATACTGTCAGATCTTCAAAACAGAACATTCTGTGGGAAAATGAAAATAAGGCTATTGGGTTGTTTTTATTTGCCTTTTTGTCTTTAACAAAATGACAAAATGACATTTAGCCAAAAAGACCTACATACAAATTTATCCCCTCTACTTTTTTTTTTTTTTTTTTTTTGTCTTTTTGAGACAGGTTCTCGCTGTGTAGTTCAGGCTGGCCTTGCACTCACTTTGTAGCCCAGGCTGGTCCTGAACTTTTAACGATCCTCCTGCCTCAGCCTCCTGAGTGCTGGGATCTCAGGCGTGCGCCACCACTCTCGGTCTCTACTTTTGAAATTATAGGTGGGCCTTTAATTGTATGTGGCTTGTTTAAATGTATACAGTATACTGCCTAAAACTAGTTACTGTAGGCTGAGATAAAATTATTTTTAAATGCTTAGGTTGAGTTAATAACATGGAAAACAACCCTGCTTTGATTTAGATCTGTAGGCATGTCTACTCTTAAGAGAAATGTAACATTTACTAGATCAGATAATACAGTTCATGACATTTTGTTGTGTGCATCTTCATAAGTGATTTGTAATAACTGTCTTGCAGGGTGGGTTCCTAGTTTGTGACAAGCTGGTTTAGAAGAGCAGAAGAAAAGGTTTTTGCTTCTTTCTTCAGCTTTTCCTCTTTTTAAAATGTGTTTTCTGGTGCCCTGGTATCCATTTCAAAGGGTCAGGTTTCAACCAGAACAATAAAGGGCCCAGAGACTGGAAAGTACACACAAGTCTGGCAAACTCATCTGCATGAGCACGATCATTTGTTCTCCAGCAGACATCCAAAGTAAATGATTGAAAGAGCTGCTGGCTGTGAGGGATGTGTCCTGAAGGGGCAAGGAGTGGAAACAGACCACGTTGTCGGGAAGAAAAAGAAAGGCTGTGCTTTCTTGAACCTCTCCCTGCTGGGTCACACGCTGACTGGGGAAGATGTTTTAAACAGCTTAATAGCCTGCTTGCCTTCTTTCTTTGGTTGATGCCATGGCTGAAAGTCAGAGTAACATTCAGGTTTTTCTTGGTCTCTTGAATCTTGTAGATGGCAAAGGCCTGCTTTTTTGTTTTGAGTGACCTTTTTTTAAGTTGAAATAAACATTCTAGGTTTGTTTTTAAAAGTTTCCGGTGGTTCTTCCTTTGAGAACAAACGCTTTTCTTTAACATTGATGTAAGAGTGGGTTAAAGGGGGCCGGGCTTTGGCCGGGCAGCTCACCCATCCCGCTCCAGCGGGCATGTAAAGGTAACATGGGCCAGAGTGAGAGCTGTGCCCTAAGAGGAATGTCGGAGAGTAGGGAGAGCTTTGAGGAGAGCGCTCAGGCCGGGTTGTTCTTCCAGTGTTTCTGAGGTGCTCTCATCGGGAAGGGAGATTAGTTTATTATAGGATAAACATGAATTTTGATTCTGTAGCAATTTCTTCTTCTGTGCTTTTCAGAAAAGAAAGGTTCCCTTGAAAGATAAGTCTTGGTCAGTAAAAGCAGGTGAGATGGATTCATGGGTACCTTTCAGGCCCATATAGACGGAGAGCTTCTAAGCCATGTGTGGGAAAGGTGGGTGTTGAGGGCTTATAAAATTTCATGTTCTTCTAAGGAGTATCTACTTTATGAATCATACAGCTTGAAGCTGGATGTGTACGCTTAGGTAGGATGATCATCACAAGTTTGGGACCAGCCTGAACTACACATGAGACTCTGCTTCAAAGAGAAGAAATGCCATTTGGAGAAAGGTCGCGGAATAAGATGAGTTCACCTTCTCGGGTAGTTAGCTGCTTCCACAATCCAGGCACTATAGTTTCCGTGAACAACTTTGTTTTTGTGTACTTAACAGATAAATTAATACTCTGTCTTGACTGAGTCAAAGATGGTAAAGGAAGCTTTCAGTGCCGTGGTGGTACTACCAGAGTATGTTTTTATCTTTGTTTGTGATGTTTTAAAATCAGTTCTGTCTGCAATCAATATTTATATACTTTCTCTTATGTCTAAAGATTCTTCTTGCCAGGTAGAGATAGAATGAAAACTTAAAGTAGTTGTTTACTTTACACTCATTTCACTGGTGGAGAATTTCTTTCACTCTACATCTTTTTAGATACTTGGAACTTTTTAAGTTACAGACATTTAAACATGCAAGGTAATGTAATTTGAGAGAAACTTCAGAAATACTGACTTTGGAAACAACTAATTATTGCCTTGTGGATACAGTTTTTGAAGTCAGTTGGTCTGTCTTCCAATTTGAAGGCAGCATAATTACGGAAGGGTTATGGCATCATTGGTTTTGTTTGTTTTTTTTTTTCTTTCTGGTACTGGAGGTTGAACCCAGGGCCTTTGTGTCTGAGCTGTAGCCCCATCCCTGTTTTTATATATTTGGAGAAAGTCTTGCACTGCTAAATTGCCCAGGCTGAATTTGAACTTGGGTTCTTCCTGCTTCTGCCTCCCAGAGTGCTGGGACTATAGTGTGCACCATCATACCCAACTCATAATTTCATTCATTCAGTCAGTCATTTATTTTTGAGTCAGGTTTTCACTGTGTAGTCGAGGCTGGCCTTGAACACTCTATATACCCCATGCTGACCCCCAACTTGTAGTCCTCCTGCTTTAGCCTCCCAAGCGCTGAGGTTATAGGTGTGTGCCACCGTGCCTGGATTTTTCATCATTGGTATTTCTGAAGCTCTCCATATGTCAGTGAGGTGTTTTGAAGAAAACTTGTACCTCTTCTTGCCAAGTGACGTGGTCGAAGTGTTGTATAAACACATTTACCAACAGTACATGTGCAAGCTCTGAGAAGTATTGTATAAACACATTTACCAACAGTACATGTGCAAGCTCTGAGAAGATTGTGATGTACATGAAAAAGGTGGTCTTTGACTGCTACACATAATATCTTTGTTACTGAACTTACTGTTTTGGGGTGTTTTTATTGTTTTGTTTTGAGATGGGTTCTTGCTGTGTAAGTTCAGACTGGTCCAACTGGAAGCCATCCTCCTGCCTCAGCCTCTTGAGTGCTGGGATTACAGGCCTGAGCCACCACATCTGGCTGAATTTACTGTTTGAAACTAATTTCTTCAACATAGTACCTAAAGTTTTTGTTTAAAAAGAATTCGTTTTCTTTACAGCTCTCACTTTCTGCCTCCTTCAACTGCCTTAGAGTTTTCCTACAGGAAATAGTTGTTCAAGTAGTTGGTCAACAACTTCCTATTTCTTTATAAGCTGCTGAATAACTTCCTGAATTAGCATTCTACAATATTTTTGGTTACAAGGAGTGTTATTCTCAGATTCATTTTATTGAATCTGATACCTTATAACTGTTACCATGCACAAAGAACTTCTGGTATATACTGTACCATACAGGATATTTATTACACTTTAATTTAAAGAATGTGATCCAGTGATTTAACAAGTTTGTAGAGTTACATTATTTTAAGTGTTCTAATAATTTTTAAAAAATAGTTCTATGTATCATTTTCTGAATAACTAGCCTTAGTATTTTTAATCCTTGAAGACTCGGGGTTTCTTGTGGGTATGATTTGTTTAAAAGTTTGTTGAGTATGTTCATTTATAGTTTTTCTAAAAAGATTTTTTTCAGGTTTTTTGACATATAGTTCAGCAATATAAAATGAACTTGCAGATATAATTGATCACTGTGACTACAACGGTTTATTTTTCTGCTACAGGTTACAGTATTTTACAAATAAATGCTCCATGGTCCTAATTATAGCGGAATTATATCAATTAAAGGAAATGAATGAAACTGTTTGTTAGAAACTGATTTTATGTTTTCTTTTCAAACACTTGTCCAGTGGAAGACCATAAACACATGCAGTGCACACTTCTCTAATAAAAGTACGCATTTTTAAAAGGAATAGTTTCATAAAGAATAAGGCGATGCTGTTTTTTTGTTGGTTGGTTGGTTGGGTCATTTTTTATTTATCTTTTGCTATACCTAGTGTAACCCAAATGATTTCCATTTAAAAAATG